CATTTACTCGTAGCGAATAATAATTTGTAATTAGTTAATTAATTGACTAATTAATTAATTAGTTGATAAATATAGGTATCATATGTCTATACATATATATACATATATATATATATATATACCGATATATATACCGATATATGTACCGATATGAGTATCGATATAACACCAATATAATGACGGATCCACGATTGATGAATATTCAAATGATCAAACGATGTGTACAATTATGTACAATTATTTACGTGACGTATGATTATGTACACATATCCTGTGCACACAATTCGTACACGTTAGCTTGTACAGTACAATCACAAGTAAAGATATACATACTTAAATACTACATACATACATACATACATACATACATACATACATACATACATACATACATACATACATACATACATACATACATACATGCATACATACATACATACATACATACATACATACATGCATGCATGCATGCATGCATACATACATACATACATACAGACAGACGGTCAGACGTATACATACAGACAGACAGACAGACGTATACATACAAAAAAATGTACCCGAACAAAAGAAATTGTTTAGTTTTCAATGAGTTATATTGTTACACGTTATATTGTTACACTTTTACTTTTTTCAAAAACATTTTTGCTGAGTTTTTCATCATATTTTTGTTTGCACTCCAAAACAATACATTGATTAATATTATTGTTGTATTGTTTTAATTTTTAATGTCACCAATTAATTTTTTTCTTTTTAAAACCGTTTGTACTTATTTCATTAACAACTGTTACTCTATCCATCTGACTCTAATTGAAATGTTGAATGATAATGAATTTATGATTTTTCTTGTATCAAATCATTTTCGAATTGTATATATACAAAAATAAAACTTTAAATTGTATATAAAAAATTGTTTTTTTTTATTTTTATAAAGCAAAATAATTTTTTTTTTGTTGATTGAAAATTTTTATCTAAGACTATCCAATGCATATGGTTAATGTTATTTTTTCATTATGTCGTGTGTTCGTGTGCGTGTGTGTGTCTGTGTGTGTGTGTCTGTCTGTCTTTGTGTGTTTGCATGTTTCTGTGTGTATGTGTGTGTGTGAGTTTGTGTTTTAATGTTTGAATGATATTAGTTGCGATATCAAAAGATAATGGGTTTAAGGGTTATCATGATTCAAGTCTGGTTCATGCTACTACATAGCATTGGATATTTTGGGATGTATATTTTAAATTTGGTTCACTTCATTTCTTTCAATATTTTTCTGTTTATATTTGAATAATGTAAAAAGTTATTTATGCCGTTACGATTTAAACGTACCTCTAAATAATATTTTTTAGATTTATAGTTGTCTTTTCATTCTGTTCTAAACCCCAAAAACCGAGAAATTTTTTCTTTTTTTCATATTTTTTATACCCTGTCAAGCAATTTGTAATATTCAATATTTCGCGGATCTTTCTTTCTTTCTTATTTTTTGTTTTGTTTTTTAATTTCAAAACCTTGTTAAAATTTTGTTAAATTGTTAGATTAGAGAGAAACTTCGCTATCCGCAATTCTATTTATTTATTAATTTCAATATTTTTAATTTATTTATTACCGAAAATCGAATCGATGAACTATTTTTTCTTCACCACATTAACAAAATTCTTATCAGACTACTTGAAATGAAAAGAGTTTTTTCGGATATTAATATTATTGTTATTATTATTGTCATCATTATTCTTACTTCCTTCTTCTTCTCCTTACTATTATTATTCTTTTAATCTCATATTATTATTAATATGGTTTGACGTTAAAATGTGTTTGCGTTCTGTTAAATTATAATATATATATATATATATATATATATATATATATATATCACTTATATAAAGTTCTTGATTTTAATGTTTAAACGATTGTATTATGTTTAGAATCTGTATCGTTGAACATTTAAAACTCAGGTTTATACAATAGTTTTGTTATTTCTCTTAATTCATTGTTAATGTAATTGATTTCTCATGTTACATTAAAAGATAAATAAAATAAACCTCTTGAAGTGTTTTTTTTCTAATCGAGAACTTAAAACAAACAAACAACGCTGAGGTTGATCAAAAACAGAACTGATGTAATGACCAAATTGTTAAGAAATTCAACTCAAACTGACTTTTGTGTAAGATAAATTATCTGGAATGAACTTTATATTAGAAATTACGTCACAAGTAACGTTTAATTGATTACATTCCGAATCAAACAGGCGCTTTTAGATCTATTTTGTTAGGTTAATTTCTCAGATCGTTTGTGAATTAGATTAAAAGTTGTAGATCCACTTTACAATTTTACTTAACATAACTTCATCGACTTTACAATTTTACTTAACATAACTTCATCAAGAAGAGTGTTTAATGGTCTTTAACACTCTTTCTTAGGTTCAGAGAAACCAGCAAGCATCGTAGTGTAATCCTTTCTAAACGAGGAGATCCTTTCGTCCTATTCGAACCCCGGTCAATGCACGCACTGCAAAACAGAACCAGGCGACCTTAACCCCTAGGCCATCAACTTGAAAGATATTCTATGCTTGTTGCATAAACCTCATAAAAATTAAAAAATTTGAGCTATAGTACTTGAACTTAACACTGACCAGAAAACATTTACTCATCCTTTTTAGAGATTCCGTGTATAAAATAGGATATGGACGTGTGACGTCAACGTTGCTCTTCTTGCCTGCAGTGAATTGTACAATGGAAAATTGTATAAAGTATATGCAATTCCAGTTTTAAATTTTGTGGAGATATTTTATCCAATTTTATTGAACATTTTTATTTAGATAAACATGAACACTTGAAACCATACATTTGCACAGACTAAACACGTTATTGTTATATATGAAGCTATGTAGAGTATTAAGCTAATAATGGAGTTAATTTTCTTCTTAATGATAAAACTGTTGCGCTCAGTTATCATGTTTTTTCAAATATCTATAAAACGTTCACTCTGTATATATTCTTTACTTCTTTACGATGTTTACCATTTTAAAACAGATTTAGTCTTTCTTTAGTTTATATTCTATCTTTGCTTCAATTGTATATTTTAGTGTAAAGTTGAATCTTCTTTGTTTTTTGGCTAAGTTATACGACGTTAATTTCTTAGTTTTAATGAAATTCGTATCAATTTAAGTACTAATTAGACACTTAGTAATCTAAAAAAAATGTCCGTGTGGAAATTTTCAACTAGTTCGAAACTCGGGATGCGTTTCAGTAGTCCGGCTGAACGAAACAAGGAGTTGACGGCCCAAGAGAAGTTGATTGAGCTGAAAAAGAGAGAAATTGAAATGAAGCTGAATGAAAAAAAGGCACAGGAATCAAAAAAACTGGAAGAGGCCAACATGAATGCAAACCAGTCGCTAAAGTAAATTTTTTCTGTGTTAAATTAGTATACCAAAATTATTCTTAAAATTTATATTACTTCAACCTACTTTTTTACATAAGCTTTTAATTTTAAAACTATTTCTGAGCTTAAGTTTCTCAAAGAAGTGAAAATGTTGAAAAGTAAAAGATAGTGCCAACTAGTTAATTTAAATTAAAATTTTTATTATTTATTAAATTAACACATGATATGTAAATAAGTCGATGTTATGAAACACCAAACAGGAATATGAAAAGGTTTGGATTCACAGCAAAAAGTTCGCTTCCTGAGTTTTCCCATTCTCAAACAGCATCAGCCGATCTGTTTGCAAATGATGGAAGTTTCATGGAAAAGTTCAAGAAAATGCAGGAAGATTTAAAAAGTAAGATCCATTTTATTGTTGTTCTTTCATTTCATGTTTTATTCATATTTGAAAAATTTTAGATAAGAAAAAAGAAGAAGAAGAGAAAATCAAAGAGACACCAGACGGCGAAGAAAGTACTCAGGCAGGTGAAACTGTTTCATCATCCAGTGATAGTGCAGCATCAGTTCAACAAGTTGTAGAATCCACTGCAGATCATACTAACAAACAGCCCCCTACTGAGAGTAATACTCCATTTTTTCCAAATCCACAGACCCATCCACCTCAGTTACAGCCAGTCAATCCAGATTACAACAACCCACAAATGTTTCATAGGCCTCCTCTCGATTTCAACCGATTTCATGGCCCTCCAAGATTCATGGGACCACCTAATCCCAACATGCCTCCTAATCCCAACATGCCATCTAATCATAACATGCCACCTAATTTTAATGCTTTCCAAGGCAGGCCTCCAGCACCTTGGCTACCAGTGGATGCACAGAGGTTTCCTAGGCCTCCATTTTTTGATGAATCCCATAGATTTGCTGGCGCAATGTCTCAAAACTTTCCTTACCAATCTTTTGTTCCTGGACCATATGGATCGCCAATGCCTCCCCATATGATGCCACCTATGTCAGAAGGATTCAACAGATTTCCAATGAGACCACCACCACCTCCACCACCTCCATCTCAAAATCTTCCTGAAGAACATGTTCAATTGAATAGTGATGTGCCAGGTGCTGGAGCAAACATGCCCTTCGGACATGCAGTACAAAACATGCCTTTCAGTCAGGAAGCTCAAATCATACCCTTCAATCAAAATGTGCAAAGCATGCCATTGAATCAAGATATACTGAGCAGGTCATTTAGCCAAGAAATGGATATGAATGCAGTAGAGTCAAATGTTGATAGATGTCATGAAAGCAGCCATGAAGAAGAACAAGAACACAGTAGAGCATCGCCTAGGTATGAGTTGGATGATTATGGAAATCCCATACCCCCTGAGGAGTTGCAAGAAAAGTACGACCCTCTTGAAGATTTGGAAACTGATGAAAAGTTGAAAACAAGTCCAAATGAAGTGGCTATGGGAGATTTTGAACTTAGAAACAACGCAGACATGTGCGTGCCTCCAACATCACTACCTCCACCGGCAGTGACGCCCGTCAACTCGCACCATGACGTCGACTACAGAGCATTCAGTTTCAATTATGGAATATGTGAGAGTGAAGCAAAAGAGCATGCAGTTAACATGGACACATCAAACAAGATGGACCAAGATCATTTTTCTGGGAGAAGTCCGAATCACCCTCCTGTTGAGAAGAAGATGAGGCAGGAAGGGTTCCAGGCAGTACCTCCCCCATCACTCTACCAACAACATGAAGCTAACCAATTAGACAACAGACGGTATTTTGTTTAAATATTTCATTTTTGGAACTTTTTCCTGTATAAACTAATTGTTATCTATTTTCTTTGTTTTCAATACCATCACCATTTAATATAATTTAATTAAACTTTGATCAGTTAGCCAGATGAATTTACATTATAAGTGTGTGTTTCAAAACATCACTTGTCCATATATGTCAACATAATGTATACCAAATGATTGCATGTTACACAGTTCGGCAAAGTATAGAACCTCATCCGGCAGACCATTTGATGATGGTGCATCCAGTAGTGATGAAGATGATGACAGAGGCGATGGTAGGAGGAGAGATATGAGGAAGAGTTCAAAACTGTATCCAAAACCCGAACCTCAAGGTATTAAATCTATCTGAAAATTGTTTTCAAAGTTCTTTACTTGATCTTTAAATTTGTAGTTTATTTTGTGAAGATCAATATTTTGTTTTGAGCTTGCATGCACTTCACTGTTAGCATTATTGAATATTTTTTTCAGTTATTCATGATCTCGTACAGATTTATTCAAATTGAATTAAAAAATATTTTTTCTGTGAGAGCCATTCAAAATATTTTTTTAAATAATTAATTCTTATGTGCCTTTTTATATATTCTACCCAACTGAGAAACCTATTTCACATACTCTGACAACATGTAAGTCATCTTGTCTGTAAAAATGTCTACCCCTTGGTGGTTGCTCATAAAGCTCTTGATTTTCTATTGTTAATTTATATTGAATGCTATAAAGCAGTCTGCCTGTTCCATTCAGTTTGGTTGAAATCTTCTTTTTCTAATTTTTTTGCCTAGGCCTGACATTTTGTACTGGATCAAATTTGTTTAGGTTTCGTTATAAAATATTTTTTCAATTTTTGGAGTGCATGGATAGTGTGAATGTGCAAAAGGAGAAACAAGCAAGTAAAAGTGTGTGTGAGCATTAGTTACTTCATTAATTTGAGATGGGGAGGTCTCTCTGTAGGACCCCCTTTTTAGAGCGAGTTGCTGATTGGTTGGCTTCTAGTTTCTACAGCCAATGAGAGTGCAGCAGCAGCAGCTGGAGGAGACTTGACCCCAGCAATCAAAGAAAAGATTGATCAGTTTGTTGCCTGTGTCAATCAGTCGGGACCAAAGTTAGAACAAGTTGCCATCAAAAACAACAAAAATAATCCTATGTTCAGGTAAATAGAAATATTTGTTCATAATGCTAAAATTTGTTAAAGAACTGTATATAATGTTTTAATATTTTGAAAAACACAGTATTTGGTTGCTGCATTGTTTATTATCTTCCATTCATTCCTTTATCTATCTATCCATTCATCCATCCATCCATCTCAGATTCCTCTATGACTTTGGATCACCGGCCAACAAATACTACGAAGAAAAAATGACCCCAGTCCGAGTCAAGTTTCCCGCCATGCTGGAAAGCGCTGCTGCAGTCCAGGCCTCCGGTGATGATGATGTTCCTGGTAAGTAGCTATGATGATGATGATGATTTTGGTGATGATGATGATTGTGTTGATACCGATGACTAAACAAGTGAGTAAGAACATATAACAACTGGATAAGTGAGTGAAAAAATAAAAATTGTGATTGTGACCTTCTTAATTTAATGCATACTGTTGTTGTTATTCATTTAAGTGAAAAATGTTGATTAGAAAGTTTAATTTATATTCTGGCAATTGCAGTTTCTAAATAATGCTTCTTTTTCTTCTCTTTTTCTGACTAATTAAGTTTTTAAATTTTAAAGTTTATGATCAATTCTTTTTAAAATAGAAGTCTTTTCATTTTAATGGTTGCCAAGAGTTATAATTAGAAACAGACAGAGTAGTCTCTACTGGATAGATGTTCGACATCAAAGAAATTATTGTTTTTTTTTGTGTGTAACTTTTTTTCTCAAAATTTTTTTTGCACAGTTGATGATGAGATTGCACTGAGAGAAGCCATGATTAGGCAAAATCCAGCTATCAACAGTATGTATAGTTTTTTTCATTTATTGTTATCTTGTTTATTGGGTGATTTTTTAATAAAATTTATGGTGTGTATGTTTTTATTTATTTTTTGAAAAAAATTATTCGTTTTTATTAAATTGAATTTTTTTTGGAGCTGAAGCTAGATTGAAACTCATTTTTTTCATTAACAGATGTCAGTTTTGTAAAGATTGGAGATACAAGTTAGTTGATTTATTAGGCTAACTCTCTTAACACTGGAGAAAAAAATAAAATTTGCAAAAAAAAATTTGAATTTTCTCTTAAAATTATTCAAATGAAAATTTTAAAACCTGGAATAAACCAACATCCAACAACAACAACACACACAGACGTCACAGTGAACCTGACTCCACTCTCCCAGATGAATTCAGAGGCATTCGCACGGAAGATGACCGGGGGTGGTCAGCTATCACTCGACCAGAAGAAACAAATCAGGGAACAGCAAGAGGTCTGGCGTCCGTTCCGTTTCTATATCTCATTAATTTTTATTATTTAGGATTTCTTACTATATCCTTATATTCTTACGATATCCTTACTAGTTTTATTATTGGCTGATTTTATTAAAATTATTTTATTAAAATATTTATTCACCGAATACAAATTTTCCTACCCCAGATGAACGCCATGTACGAGTACGTACTTGCGAAACGACGCGCCATGGAGATGCAGGCTAAAGCATTGGAGGCAGGTCTGAACATCAAGCCCAAGTATGAATATGATTCGGATGAGGATGTCGAAGGAGGAACGTGGGAACACAAAAAGAGAAACTTTGAGATGGAGGCTACCAAAGGTTCCATTTTCTATCTTATTGTTTCTATTTTTATATTTACATTTTCTATAATTATCGCGAATAATTTTTTCCTACTTCGTCATTTACCACAAACAGAATGGGCAGAAAAGTTGACAGAGATGGCGAAGGGCAAACATCATCTTGGAGATTTCTTGCCACCAGATGAGCTGGCCAAGTTCATGGAGACTTACGCTGTTAGTTTTGAGATATAGTATTTATATTCTTGAGTGTTGAATGTCTCCAATGAGTAACAAACTATTTTTTGTGATATTATTCTGGATTTGAATGGATGTGGAAAATTATCTTCTTATATAAATATCGAAATGAAGTTGATTTTATGTCAAAAAAATCTTCCATACACATAGTTAATTCTTGCTTATACGCATACTCGCATGTACACATAATTGCATACGTACATATTCGCACGAACATACAAATACACTGACATGTACAAACACACACACACATATCTACACTACAAACGCAGGCATTGAAAGAAGGAAGAGAGCCTGATCACTCTGACTACAAGCAGTTCAAGATCACATGTGAGAATGTCGGCTTCCAGATGCTGCAGAAAATGGGGTGGAAAGAGGGTGAAGGGCTGGGATCTGATGGCCAGGGTATCAAAAATCCAGTCAACAAGTTAGTTGAAGGGCTTACGTCTCGTTTAATTTGTGGTGTGAAATGTTTTTAAATAATAATACTTTTTTATTCTGTTTAACGTGTTGATTTTACACTTTTCATTTCTCTTGTATGGATAATGTTTCATGATACATTATCACCTGCCAGATGAGATAGAAGAAATTTAGATTATACAATCATTTTTCTACACAATATGTTTGATCAAGATTCAAATACATAAATAAGCCTACTATAAATTGAATCAAAGCAAACACAATAAAAAAATCTCTTAATAAAAATACGAGCGGCCACCCACTTATAAAACGACTGACCGAACGACGAGCTGACCAGACTTACTTTCATAATAACAGAGGTACAACATCGCTGGATGGAGGCGGTCTCGGAGGTGACAAACCCTCGGAACTGACAAGGGATGATGACGAATTCGATGCCTACCGCAAGAGGATGATGCTGGCTTATCGATTCAGGCCTAATCCCCTGGTAAGATTTTTTGCCACTGTTGTTGTTTTTTTTTATTCTTAGATTTTGTGTTGGTGTTGTCAATTTTTGAAGTTGCTATTTTTTTTTATACTTTTTTTTCAACACTGGCGTATAAATTTTTTTTATTTGTATGTCGAAATTTACATAAAGGTTTTTTTATGTTTCTATGATAGTGTTGATATTTTGATGCGGTAGTATTGTATTTGTGGTATGTCACAAATTTCATATTGAAACGGACGTCTTATTAAATTATAAAATTCTTAATTTTTTTTCCTCCAGAATAATCCAAGACGCCCGTATTATTAATGACCAACGACACAGATCTTGTTGGATGCGTTTGTTATTCTCTCTCTCCTCTCTCTCCCTCTCTCTCTCTCTCCCTCTCTCTCTCCCTCTCTCTCTCCCTCTCTCTCTCTCTCCTCTCTTTCTCTCCTCTCTCTCTCTTTCACTTTCTTTCACTTTCTTCTGTGTGTGTGCTTGTAGTATAGTATGTCTGTCTAGGTGTAAGTCTTATTTTATTTAATATGTAAATAATTAAACATATATATATATATGCATTAATGTATAATATATATATAATGTAATATTATATAATATAATATAATACCAAGTCAAGTTCACGTATCAACAATAAACTTTGGAACTTTTATCTGGAACGTTGTAATGATTGATGAAATTATTTTTCAGTAACATATCTTTACAATGTTTTGTAATGTGTAACGTGTAAAGTATGACTGATTTGCAGTTACTGGAATCTTGATAGATTTAATAAAAAGTTATTTTAATAAAAATTTGTTTGTTTCTTTGATATATTATATCATTATATACGTATAACTTTATATTATCATTAATTTAAATACAAATAGCACATGTCAAACTTAATTATATATGTATAGAAAAGCTACTTAATTGAGTTATGTATGAATCAATAAATGTTTGAAATGTCCATATTTAAAAGCATATAGTCTGTAAATTTGAAATGGTTTAACTGTTTTTTTGGTAAGCTTTTTTTTTCTAGATATAATCTTACATCATGCATTGTAACGATTTTATTAAGAATGATGGTGGTTATAAAGAATGATGATGATGGTGATAACGATAATGATGGTGATGAGAAATAATGATAATGAAAAAACCGCTATAGAAAAAACCACCACATACCGCTAAAAACATGGTGATTTAAAAAATTTTTTTTAAATCTGTCAATTAGCTTGCACTGGCCCACATATTGTCATCATGTACGACTCAAAGTTGAGTACTAGTACTTAGTATTATTACATAACTCAGCCCGCAATACATCAATCTTCTACATAAAAACGACGATAACGAAACAGAAATGACATCATCGTCGTTAATTATATTCCAATTATCTTTGAAAATTATTATAATTAGTTTAACTTGATCCACGCCAATGAAACTCGTACATGGCATTACTTTTTACACGGCACTACTTTTCATTGAATTGACGTCTGAAAATTTTTATCAGGTGCATCGGGTTGAAAATAATTTTTTCCAAATTTAAGTAACCTTTGTTTTTGTTTGGTAACTCTAGAAAAATTAAATAAAGTAAACTAGCACAGAATCAACCAAAAAAACTGGTTACATAATGAGTATACCATTTAAAAAATACAATAGTATACTAAGTAGTATTTGAAATAGTGTTTCAATACCAAAAAATTCGTCAAGTTACATACATATATCGAACCACAGAAAAACAGACTGCTACTACAAAGTCATCAATGGTTTCATTTAAAAAACGACAATTTATTAACAGTCATCAGTTGAGGAAAATTATTTTTAAACAATTTTTATAATAAAATAATTATTTAAATTTATTGTCCGAATGTTTCTTCTGTTCGAAATTAAGTACTGAAATTTCACATATAAGAATAGGAAACTCAAGTAGAAACCATCACGTATTAACTAGAGTCCGGTTTTAATTCGATTATCAATCATTTTTAAACGAATATTTTATCATTTAACATTCAATTTAATTCCCACCCTGCTCCACTTAACAAATTTTAGCTATAGAGGACGATTAGTCGGATTATGGTAGTTACGTAACCCTCATCAATAACAGTGCAAACTCATCGTAGTAAAGTAGCTAAACCAAGCAAAATACGTGCACCAGGAACATCAACATTTAATGAATAGACGTTATATACAATAATCTTCTGATAGATTTACGCGCAATTTTTTAAAGTAAAAATTAGAAATATGTAAGAAAATGAAATCCCAATTCAACCAACAAAACTTACAACTAAAATGGGGCCTAGTTAAGTTAAAATTGCACTAAGAAAGTCCAATTATAAGGAAAAAACGACAAACTTAACGCGTCTTGTCTATGTAATTAGTATTTTTAAACAGCAATGGCAACAAAAAAGAGGATAAAAAATAGTTTAAGCGGCTCTGATGGTGACAAATAATGGTTCTGTTTAAATGAGCAATAATTAGTTCAAAATAAATTGAAGGATTATTATTGAACTTAAATAGTTTCTGTAGTCTTATATAGGATTAATATAACGAGAGAATAGCTATAAATTGACAAGACACCATTCAGCAACGTCAGTTTATTACTGAAAATTTTCTAAAGATTCGGTGAGTGTTAGCTAGCGTTAACTGTGCATATAGAGATCCTTAATTTTATTATTAAAAACATTTGTTATTATTATACATGACATTAAAATAATATATTTATAACATTAATATTGCAACATAGAGTTCGCTCGCATCTCAGATTCGACCAAAGTTGACGAAATGGTTACCTGCAGGCAGATGAACTTTGAAGGAATGTTGATTGTCCTAGTGGTAGCTTTCGTTTTCAAAGTCTCAGGATCGGTTGCATATGCCCGGAAACAGGTTGCTGAAATTTCAATTAAGTTTACAAAAATACTTTTAATTATTTATTCAATAATAAGTGTTTTAGTATGTTTTATTTTTAAATTTTCTCATCAATAAATCTAAAAGCGCTTCATGGATTTATGATTGAAGTTAGGCTTCATCAAGAATAATGTGTAGTTTTGGGTAATTTATGATTATCTTAATGAGTTATATCAAATGTTTTCAAATACAATTGTTATTGATTGTATTGTCTGGAATTAAAATCTGAGCTTCTAAATCTTTTAAGAACACTAAACTCTAGATAACTTATCTTTTTACATCTTATTTTTTACAATGCAACGAAATGAAATGACTTTCTAAATGACGTAATTTTAATAGCAGGTGCAAATGCCTACAGACTTATCAATGCAACAGGTCAGAGACATGTTGGTGGGCTTCCAGAAAACGCAAGTACATATGATCCTGCTGATTCTAAAACATTTTATTCAATCATTTTTCATTTACAACCGCTATTGATCACAAATAATACTTTTACATTACTACTCTCATCTTGGCTTTCACGTCGTAATTATTACATTACATTACATTACAATACATAAAACATTGCCACTACTTTTTACTCCAGTTAATATACTCTGCAAGTAGTCTGGGAATCTTTGAGGAGTTGGGCATCGCGACAGAACCGACTGCAGCCATGACGCTGGCCACCAAACTATCGCTGAACGCCGACGCTACCGAACGTCTCCTCAATGCTCTGACTGCTATCAGACTTGTAATTAAATCAGTTGATTCTAATAACGTAGGTTAGGAATATGTTCTTGTGGTTGTTGTTAGTCGCGTTAGTTACTGTTATTATTAATCATCAAACTTCATGACATCAATTTAAATTTAAAGCAATTACAATTAAAAAATTAAAAACAATTACTCACAAACTTAGCCGTTTATACCATTGGAAACTCGGCCAAGCAGTATCTTCTCATTACCAGCAGATTCTCACTCAAACCTCTCGTAACAAAAATCGGCGATCTTTACAATATCTATGGGAAGCTTTCACAGGGTGTCAAAGAAGGTTACGACCATTTTTAGGGACTTTTAAACAATTTCTCCATTTTTTCAAACAATTTTTCAATTTTAATCAACCAACTAACCAATTATTAAACCATTTTATCATTGCGCCAGGGAAGAAACAGCTTACAGCTGGAACTTTCGGTATGTCAGCTATTTATCATAAATTATCGTAAATTTGCATGTATTTGCATAAATTAACATAAATTATATCATTATAATTGTATATGGTGATTTCTTTTTACTTTGGTAGCAAAAAATAAGTCAATTTGAAAGTATGTTTCATTAACGCTAATTTGAAACACCGATTCAAAAACACCATAACTTGTCCACAAAAGAAATATATTTGTATTGAAATTAGAAATGAAGTGATATAATAATTAAAAAAATATTTTATATTAAATATACTAACTAAATTAGATGGAGGATTTTACACCAGTGACGAGAAAACGAAGCAATTCCTGGCTACTATGCACATGTTCTCGAACTCCGATGGACCCCACGTTTTGAATGCTCTTGACCTTTCGCAATTCAAAACTGCTCATGATATCGGAGGTTAATTTTTGATTTCTTTTCGAACTTGTTTCACTTATTTGCTTATATAATTATTAGATTATAATTTCGTTTGGGTTTGAAATTGAAATGTATACTCTACTGATTCTTATGATTCACTGAAATTGGCAGGAGGTCCGGGTTCGTTTGGATATTTGCTGGCGAAGAAGTACCCAAAGATGAATGTCACAGTATCTGATCTACCAAGCGTCATCAAATTTACCAGTCATTTTCTGCCCGCGGATCTGCCAGCAAATTTATATTTTGAATCAGGTCTGTTGTTTTCGTCTTTTTGGCATTATCCTTTTTATTTTTTATTATAATTTTTATCATCATTGTCTTCGTCTTTCACCATCCTTTTTAACCATCATCTTTTTCATCTTTAGTCATCATTGTTATCATCATCTTCGCCTTTCATCATTATTTTCATAGTTATTTTCATCATCATTAATCATCATTATCATCATCCTTTTAATCATCTTCTTCATCATTTTCATCATCATATTCATCTTCGTCATGTTCATCATAAACCTAATTACCATTATCACAATTCACTCAGTTGATTTCTTCATTGACACACTGCGTCCAGCCGACCTGTACATCATGGACAATGTGTTGCATGACTGGAACGAGGAAAGCCTCAATAAGTTAATTACGAGAGTTCACCAGGCTATCAATCCAGGTAGTGGCTAACTTTTTGATGACGAAGATGATTATGAAGATGATGAGAAGATGATGAAGATGATAACGGAGTGAAAAATGAAGCTACGACAAATAACTACAGACTACAGCTTGTTCTAACTCCATTGAGTTTAAAATATAGAATCATTTTACAAAAAACAAATTAAAAAATGATAATTTTAAAATTGTTTATCCTTAACAGGCGGCAGTTTGATGGTGATGGAGAAGTTTTTGAACCAGGAGAAAGACGGCCCTCTGACGACACTCATCATGGATCTGGGAATGTTGCTGACATCAGATGGAAGGGAACGAACCCTCGCAGAATACCAACAATTTTTCACGAAATACGGATTCGAAACAACTCACTCGGCTTCGATCCCTGACTCCAAATTCAAGGACGTCATGTTGTTGAAGAAACTGCCTTAGAAGTTCCGGCGTGTGAATGAAGAAGTTTCTGACGAAAAACATCTCGCAAGCGATCTGAATGATGAAAATTTTTGTAAAATAAACTTTAATAAAACAAATAATGAAATTTCACGAATTTTTACAAATTACGGAAATAATTTACAAAATTATCTTTATCTTTGTTATTTCGTCAATAAATTTTATTATATAACTCTAAATGAAGTGCTATTTTTTGTTAATCTATCTCTTGGTTGAAGTTTTACTTGCAGAAGAAAAGAAGGAGAGAAGAGAGCACAAAATTTAAAGATATTAATTATCCATTTAAGGTGTAAATTTATTTTTGAATTACTTTAATCGTCGTTCTTGTCACCTTGCTTCAAAATATTTCAAAAGGCCGCTACTGAATATTAGATTTCAGTCATTCGCTAAATTCACTAACCCAAATATTTTTATGATTGTGTTCTCACAAACTATGTTAAGCTAAATAAACTAGCTCATAAAATTCTTAGCATATCTTAGGTATTATAAATCATTATTTAACTTATTTTAAAGGATAGTGTCAGTGCTGTAAGCCACTGGCTGTTGTGATCCATTTTAAATTATCGCTAATTTGTTTTGTTAGCCTAATAAAAATTATAAAAATTCTTCCAAATGTTTCAATCCTACCATATGGCTTGTCGTTTCGTTTGTTAATATGTCAAAAATTTTCAGATATAATTAAACAAATTTGGATATAATTATTAATTAATTTATTTATTTTCAAGGGTGCTTATATGTATACATTGGCATGTTATTTCCAGCTTGTATCTCTGCATTTATATAACCTTAACCATGGTTATTGTTAATCATCTTTTTCTAGTTAATTTTTAGAAGCATTCATCAACAACACAAACGTATTACGTGTGCACATGCGAGTACATCATCATATATCCTCGCGTGTATCCGGGTATATCCGTGTATCATACACATTCGATATGATAGACCAGGAATTTTCTTGCGTTACGCATATATTCACGCATCACAACGATCGTATGTAGTCATTGCTACGTGAAACAGCGGGATAGAACAGGCGACTTAACCAGTACACCATCCCACGGACCATCATATTTTCAAATGATCTCATTCGTGCACGCATATATTCATATATTCTACTACTGTTAAACGGCCTAAACTGGCCAATATAAATTATTTTTAATTGTTTGTTAGATATTTTTAGAGTACATTACATCAAGACTGTAGTTTAAGAGACAAATAATCTTATTTTTAGAAGAATATAAATATTAACTGTGTCAATGTCATCTGTAATGTTTTCCCAAAAAATTGACAAAAATTCAAATACATAAATACACATTTTGTATATGCATGTATAAAATGTATATATCTATACATTGTATATATCTATACATTGTATATATCTATACATTGTATACACCTATACATAGTATATATTGTATATGTATACACATACATACTCTTGTTTGCTTGCAAGTTTAAAAATTTAAGTGCTATATAGTATGAAAATATTTTTTATCCAAATTTTTCGTGTTTTTGTGCAATTATTGCTGTTAATGTGAGTGCGGATTACTGCTGCTGCTTATGACGAAGTCTTTTTTTTATTAAAAATCCAAGGACAATATATTACACATACATACATTGCTGTGGTTTTAGGTGTTGTGTATATTTAGTAGTAGTAGTTAAAACTAGTAATGCAACTACAATTATTATTGAGGTAATTATTATACCGTGATCATTATTCTTATTATTACTACTGTTGTTGTTGTTGTAAATATTATTGTCTTTATTGTAATTTTTACTATTTATTTAGTTTGAAACTGCTGGCTACAATTAACACTTCCTGTGTTTGGTTCGTCAAAATGCCGCCAGATCGAAAGCTATTGAAATGTAAAAACTTGACGTGTGAATCAAAGGATGAATATTTATTTAATACCAATAAAAATAATACAGTTTTATTATTTTTATTTAATTTATTATATTTTTATCTATATTTTTATTAATTTTATTTTGTTTTAAAATGTATTTTATTTAACCTTGTTGCAGTTTAGAAACTACCTAGTTGGTTAGGTTTCTTTTCTGAAATTGTGTCGAGAAGAAAAAATTCCTAAATAGATCACAAAAACAAGAAAAAATAAAAAAAAATTGCAAAAAATAACCAAAAATAACCAAAAATCATTAAAATTAAAAAATACCAATCTATCTAAAATTAGCCAGCCAATGGGAGAGTGATTTAGAAATTTGTAACTTATACTAGACAAAAATCAAATAATTTTTAGTGAACATGCGTTTATAAAAATTTTATTTTATTATACTTTTTATGGAAAAAAAATTGATGATTATCGTTGTTTTTTGCTTAGCGAGTATACAACGTTACCATTCAAAAATTACCCTCATTAGCAAATCCTTTTCTCCTAACCTTGGATGAAATTGCTTGCAAACCTTTCCGATCGATCCACATGTCAGTGTATATAACTTTTTGCTTGTATGTGTTTGTATGTGTATCTTTATGCATGTGTGTGTGTGTGTGTGAATCTTAATATGTATGTATGTGTGTGTGTGTATTTGCATATGAATGTGTACGTGTTTTTCTGTATATGTATGTATATATGTATTGTATATGTTTGTATATACCTGTGCATATTCAGCCTCTATATACGCTTAATGTATTTGTAATTATTTGTATGTGTATAAGTAGAGTTTTTTTGTATGTCTACGTATGTTTAATTTTGTATATGTGTGATGTGTGTTTGTTTTGGCGAATGTATGCGTGTGTATTGGTATATGAGTACGTGTATGTATCATTGTATATGTGTATGCGTTGATATATATATATATATATATGTATATATATATAATTATATTTATTCATATATTCATTTATTTATGTGCATATTTTAGCAAACATAAATGTATGAACATTCTTGAAGCATTTTTTTTCTTATTTTTGTTCGTATATTTCTGAAGGTAATTAATTTATGTACTTACATCTGTGTTATTGTTTAGAAACACATCTATAGTAGCACTTGATTTGTTTGATAATATTTATAGGGAGTTGCCAAAAGGATTTAGGTTTCTAACAGCCCACCTCACATATTATAAAATGTAATTTATTATGTATCAATTATATTAAATTATTTAAGTTGTGAATAGTATTATTCAAAAATTAAGCCCTGAAGCCCCCTCTCTTCATAGGTGCACCTTTAAATGTCGCCTTCGTGAACTCAATCATTAATCACCCGATCAATGAAACAGTTTCGCTTACTAAGATAGGCAGACTGTCTTTATAGTTTTATTAGTTGTTCGTATATTTCTGAAGGTAATTAATTTATGTACTTACATCTGTGTTATTGTTTAGAAACACATCTATAGTAGCACTTGATTTGTTTGATAATATTTATAGGGAGTTGCCAAAAGGATTTAGGTTTCTAACAGCCCACCTCACATATTATAAAATGTAATTTATTATGTATCAATTATATTAAATTATTTAAGTTGTGAATAGTATTATTCAAAAATTAAGCCCTGAAGCCCCCTCTCTTCATAGGTGCACCTTTAAATGTCGCCTTCGTGAACTCAATCATTAATCACCCGATCAATGAAACAGTTTCGCTTACTAAGATAGGCAGACTGTCTTTATAGTTTTATTAGTTGTAGTCAACATTTTTATCGTTGTTGCTATCATAATTTTATTACCATTACTATTAGTAGTAGTAGTAGCAGCAGCAGCAGTAGTAGTTGTTGTAGCAGTAGTAGTAGTAGTAGTAGTAATAGTAGTAGTAGTAGTAGTAGTAGTAGTAGTAGTAGTAGTGGTAGCAGTAGTAATGACAATAGCATCAGCAGCAGCAGTAGTAGTAGTAGTAGTAGAAGCAGTAGTAGCGGCCTTTGTTGTTATTTAGTAGTGGTGTTATAAAGTACTATAATACAAATCAATGAAAAGAAGTATTAATTTTTATAGCACAATAAAAAAAATACGCAGCGAATGATTAAGATAACAATTTTATTGTAAAAGCTAATAAAATAAGTAATCACAGCACAAACATGACAACACCAACAGCTGATCGAGTTATGGTAACATAACAAGGGCAATGCGTTTCTGATGCATCTACGACATATTTTTATATGACCCATTTTTTGTAGACTGAAGAGATAGGTAGATAGATGGATGGACGAAGAGATGAATGAATGAGTAAATAAAAAAAAGAAAGACCGAATGAATGGATGGATAAAGGAGTGGATGGTTGGATAGATGGATGGATGGATGGATGGATGAATGGAAAGAAGAAAACGTTGAAGAAACACATCTAGTTGAGTATTTTTATTTTCTGAAATTTTTACGTTTTTCCATTAACCCGTATCTAACTTTCATTAGTAGCTCGTAGCATATTGTTTATGTGCGTGTAGAGTACATATATACGCACGCACGCACACACGAACACACGCACGCACGCGCAAACATATAATTTATTTGTTATTTTTTTAGATGTTTTCACAATTTTCCACATAACAATAGTTTATTAAAATGAAATGCCAATTGCACATATAATAATGTTCACATATAAAATACGTAACTTATTCTTCCTTAGTTAATTCTTAAATGTTTCATTAACACACCACACACACACTACACACGCACGCGCGCATACACACACACACAAACACACACAAACTACGTATCACACACATTGCATGTCATAGGCGGGAGTTTCGTTTGCATTTGAAGTCAGTCAGTCAGAGCAACCATATAAAATCCGGACTCAATAAAGTTGAAGTAATTAGGATGTGTAACTAATCACCAATCAAATAACAGCACCACAACAATGTCTACTAACTTTCAGAGAACAGTTTATTTTCTACACGCAGTTTTGCTTTTCGCAGCTTAAAAAAGATTCATTTCAATATAATCACACGTTTTTCTAACCTGATTTTAATTGGAACGGTGTCAACCAATGAGATTCAAACATGTACAGACTTTTTTCCTTGCTCTATTTAGAAATTTTATATGCACA